GAGGAGGAGGAGGAGAAGGAGGATGAGGAGGAGAGGGTATCTCCTCCTTCTCCCTCGCCCCCCCCCCCCCTCCGATGGTCGAGGATTTGGGCGCGAACCTGAAGACCATTCACTGGCGGGACGAGCGCCTTGTGAAGTTCGAGAAGGATTTCTATCAGGAGCTGGTAAACTCTGCATGCGCACGAGGGACGGGGGAGAGGGAGAGAGAGAGAGAGAGAGACAGGAGGGATCATGATGATGATGATGAGGAGGAGGAGGAGGCGGAGGAGAAAGCGGAGTAGGAGGAGGAGGAGGAGGAGGAAGAGACGGAAGGAGAGAGGATTGGGCGATGAGGGTTAGAACGAGGGGGGAGGAGGGGCGATGAGGAGGGGGTTAAGAGAGGAGGGGCGACGATGAGGAGCGCTACGTGTTGTGCCCGTTTTGTGACTCTTGGGGTGTCCCGCCGCCACAGCTGGGTCCACATCGGAATCCTGGTCAGAGTGCGCCCCATGGCAGGTCTGGGGGTGGGGGGGGAGGAGGGGAAGGGATGAGGAGGAAGACAAGGAGGGGGAGCAGCAGTATTGAGGAGGAGGCTCGTACAGGGATTCATCTTCACTCAGGGAAGTGTCCCGTTGAGGGACAGCCGTTGGACGATCCTGGAGCGTGCCAGAGCACCATTCTTGGAACTTCAACGCCACGGATCAATTTGGCTCTTGCTTCTTGACGATTCGGGCGCCTTGACGCTCCCCGACCGTTCCCAATCACAATTTCTGATATGCTAGCCCTGGGAATATGTGGCACGCTCTGCAAGGTCTTAAGGCCAAAGTGCGCGGTGCTAAGGCCAGGCCAGAGCCACATGTTGGAAAGAACCGCCCTGAATACATCGAACTCTCTTCGGGTAAGAAGAGTGTGCGCGGCGCTGAGGCGAGAGCCGCATCTTGGAAAATGCGCGCCCTCAATATGAGAAGTTCTTGCAATTTGACGGATGTGCGCTGCGCTAAGGCCAGAGCCACATGTTGAAAACCACCCGCCCTGAACCCGTGAAGCTCTTCCAATATTTTAAGACGACTGTGCGCGGCGTTACGGCGAGAGCCACATATTGAAAACAGCACGCCTTCAGTCCGGGAATATCTTGCAACTGTTCAAGACGAAGATGCGCAGCGCTAACGCGAGAGCCACATTTTGAAAACCATCCGAACTGAATCCTTGAAGATGTTGCCAACATTTAAGCGTCAGGGTCAGACATGACCAGGAAGGCTTAGGCGAAACGCCCGACCCGCCCTTCCGGCTGGCCTCGGGGTGCACCAGTGAGGAGTAATTTGTAAGGCAGGGGAACGAAGGAGGGAGGAGCAGGAGGAGGAGGAGGAGGAGGATCGAGATGGTTTCGGATGTGTTTCCGAGATGTGGGGAAGTTTCCGGAGGTTCCGAGTAGCTTCTGGAGGTTCTCCCGGGAGGAACTCAGCTTTCTCGCTCGCCTGTTCCTACTTCCTGTCCAGTTCCTCTCCTTCGTCTTTTCTTCTTCGTCTTCTCCTTACTTGTTTCCATCCTCCACCTCCTCCCGCCTGGTTTTTTCTCTCGGTCGTCGTCCTACTCCGGCTGCTCCTCAAGCTCATCGCCGTCCTCCTCCTCCTCCTCCTTCTCCTCCTTACGTATTCTCCTCCCTTTCTTTCTCCTCGTTGATGCCCCAGTGAATAGGAAAGGCTCTCCGCAATAGGAAAGGGTGTATGGGAAGGGAGGGATGTCAGATGTGCCGCGACGGTAGGGGGAAACAATTCGTGGACTTTCCCCCGCTCCCCAAAACTCAAAGTTGACACGCGCGAGGGAGACTGCGGTCGAAATGCAACTCATCAGACCCTCCGCCAACTTTGAACATTGTGGGGAGGAAGAGGTGTTGACCGATGAAAGTGACCTGCGTGTTCGCTATTTTTGTTCCGATGCCTGGAGCGCATCTGAGTTGCATGGCCCTCCGCGGTTACCCGGTATGAATTCTGCTCTCCCCTCTCCCCGGATTCAGATGTTTTGAACCACGTGATTTCAGACGTTGACGTTGAGTATATAGTTTCTTGTCGGCGCCTTTCTGCTCTTGGTCAAGCAGTTGCCCATGCTGCAGCGATGCCCCATTTCTGGATCGGCGCGCTGCTCCCGTCGTTCTCGCCCGAGCGCGGGCCACGATGCTGGATCGGATTCCTTCCTGATTGTCCTCCGCCTTTACCTGGTCCTCCTGCTTCTCCTGCTCCTGCTAGTTCTCCTTGCGCTCAGCCAGTCTAAACGTCAGTAGAGCAGGTTACAAGTAGCAGCAGACCGTTGAACTCCAATGGGCAGCCTGAAATTGATCCTGATCTTGCTCCTGCTGCTGCTCCTCCCTCTTCTCCTTCCTCGTCCTCCTTCTTTCTCCTGCTCATTCGCCACCTCCTCCTTCTTCCTCCAGTGCACGCAGCTCCCCTTCCCGATCGCGTATCACACGATGGGGTCACTTGGGAGATCCAGGTCCGCTGGGACACCCAGAGGCCGAAGAAAGCAGCACAATGGGAAGGGAAGGGTGGGAGGGTTGGGCCTTGGCTTGCCCGTCCCCCCTCTCCCTCTCCCCTTCCTCTTCTCTGCTAGTTGTTGCACTCCTTCTGGTCATCCCCGTTACCTCCGGCCTCCATCTATGTGTTGTCCCATTTATCGTAGTTTAGCTGAGCGCCTGTTTGAATATGGCGCCTGTTATTTTCAAGAAGGGTTCGGATATGCTGGGATTGTTTATGGGAGGCAGATGGGGACGGGGAGGAGAAACAGACTCATGCCACGCTGTTCGTCTTTGTTCGTGCATCCTCGATCTAATATTCTGTCGTCATCATTGATCCTGCATGTCGTTACTCCCAATCACCCTTTCTCGTGCTGCTCCACCTCGGCCTCCGTTCTTTCTGTCCCTCTTTCAGCGCTGCCACAGGAGCATCCTGCTGTCGCAGCGATGACGCCAGAGCAGGCAGACTATCTTAGAAAGGCGAAGAATATCACCATCGTTTCAGGCCCCGCAGACAGGACAGGGGCAAGACTGGAGTACCACCTAGACGAGAGAGAGAGAGGGAACATCCAATACTACAACAAGAGAGTGGTACGGTACACATGTTGGGAGAGAGGCGGGTATAGCAGGGGATGCGGACGTGGATGAGGAGCAGGATCGCATGAGTTGGAATGGGATTGAATGGGATGCCCTGGCGGGGAAAGTGCACAGCACTAAATGATGAGCTCACACTCGAGCCACTGGCCTCAAGCTGATGCTTCCTTGTCACGAATTCTTTCAATTGGTAGAGCTGCAAGCCGCACCTCATATGGAGGTGCGGCCCTTGATGCCGGCGGAACATCCACCACCGTAGAGTCAGACAACGAGAAATTGCTGCAGACCTGGGGGACCGCCGCCCGTTTGGGGGCCAACCGAGCAAGGGGAACCTTAATATCGAGAAACGCCCTGCACTTTCAGTTTGGCGGCCGAGCAAGTCCAGTCGCCACGACGAGGAGTCATTGGGGGTGTTTGAGAAGCTTGTCTAGAAGAGGGGGTACGCCACGACAGCCTGTCAACTCTCACTGTGCACGAGAGTTCCCTCCTAGCTGCAGGCAGCGCCTGCAGTGTAGTCCAGCAGGTCCGTCGTCCCGCTGATTCCAACCGACCTGCCTTCGCACAGCTCGGGTGGGCCTGGGCCACCTCAGACCATGGAGGAACATCGGCAGCGTGACGGCAGCAATCTTGACAAAATGATTCGCTCTCTCGAGGGCGAGGTCGAGAGAGGAAAGGAACTGGGGGTCAGCACCCTCGCGGGACATCTGTGCTTTCTTGGCATGATGATCGGCAACCGAAATCGAATTGCAAACTCTCTCTCACATGCATCGGGGCTGGCATCGATGGCCTCCTGGGATCTGTGGGCTTTGACGTGCCTTATCTCCTGGAGCCATTCGGTGCCTTCGAGAGAAAGCTCAAAATGGCGGATGCCCGCGAACTCCGACGAGGCCACGATCTGTTGACTCCCGCCACGTTGAGTGATCTTGATCGCGGCCGTGCAATCTGCTCCGAGAACCGACGGACGATTCGCCACGTGGCCGCACAGAGCAACTCCTACGTGCTCAGACGTGCAGGTGTCCGAGGATAAGTGCCGTGGACCACGCCACGCATTTTACTTCGTCCAGCAGGTGTGCATCTTCAAGGGCAGGTAGCACACCGAGCGCCCAAGCTGCCCTCTGGAGGGCACGGAGAGGGGGCTTGGAGCAAGAGCCGCCGGACACGAGGCGGAGCACGGGCTCTGGGGACAGGCTGGCGATCGCTTCGGGATCCATGTCTAGTGTCGCAGGCCTGGAGGCTGACGCCAACACCAGTATCGGTGGTTTGATCTCCACCGAGGGAAGAAGATCCCGATCTCGGTGATGGTGGTAGTATTCTGGCTTCCAAGGGCAGAATTATCACCACCAACACCGACATCTAGGATCATCTTCCCCCTCTGGAGGCAACACCCTGTGTTGGTGTTGATGCCCATTTCCAGGTCTCCAATAGTGGGTCGCCAACAGCATCACACAGGTGAACCTCCGACGAGGTGCTTGGAATTGGCATCTCACGATCTGGGTACGCAAAAATGCCTCGGGTGTAAATCTCAAAGTCGGGGTCCTCTAGTGCCGCCTGTATGTGTTCAGGCGTGGCATTAGAGTCTTCTCTCGCCTGCTTGACTTCATCTCTCTCGCACGTGTACAGCCCTGTCCGCACTCGCACAACCGTCAGTCACGTAACCCGCCGAACGACCCCTTTCGCTGGTCCACACTCCATTGCGCGCACAGCACTTGATCAACAACTTGGCATGCCTACCCAGGCCCCTGGTCGGTGGCCCCACGCGGTCCCGAACGAGATCCAAGGTGGCCCTCTGCTCAGGGGGGGTTGTCCTGATTTAGCTGCTAGTCCCAGCTCGTGCTGACGCCGAGCACCAAGGGCGCTCTCGAGGGCGCGAAGTTACTCGCGCTTCGCGCTTCGCGGTTCGGCTCCGATTTCTTCTCCTCCTCCTCTTCCTCCCTGGAAGGCGGCGCGAGAGCGCGAAGTTCTTCGCACTTCGCGTAGCGCGAAGCGAGAGGTTGGGAGCCCTTGAGTTCTAGCATATTGGCCAACAGTGAAGGAGGAATCTGATCTATCTGGACAGCCAGCCCGTTGTGCCCATTCCACTGCAGAGGCCCTGGCACCTCCCAGCCCGCCAGATGGAGCACGAGTACAGCACGACGGACCGGGCCATGAGAGGAGCTCCATGGGCCACCTTGCAGAGGCTGTCCTCTTCCTCCTCCCCTCCTCCTCCTCCTCCTCCTCCTCCTTCTCCTCCTTTCCTGCGCAGCTGTTGCTGCTCTCCGGGCGGTAGTTCGTTGGCTGGGCGTGTGCAATACACAGGCGGCCTTCGGGAGACCGACCCTGGGCGCCGAACTCCTCCTCCTCCTCCTCCTCCTCCTCCTCCTCCTCGGTCGAGTCCCAGAGCCCAAGACGCTCGCTCTCACTTACGTGTGCTCTCTCAGGCTGGGTGTCGCTGATCTCGGGCTCGAGCTCGGCGCGGCGGGCCTTCGCCTCGTCCGAGCCCTGCCGGGCACGACGGCGCGCCTGCGCGGGAGCGCGCAGCTGCGCGAGCCTGCTCGCGCAGCTGCCCCAGCTTATCCTTCGCAGCGGCCCTGACCTTGCCACGGTCGTCGGCGGGGGGAGCTTTGATGACCTGGGTAGTCTGCGCCTGATCAGAGGCGACGGTAGTATCCTTTAAAAGATCCCCATCCCCGTCCCCATCCCCTTCGAGACCCCCACCAAATTACCACCCCAGTTGGGGATACACCCCTCGAAACCCGAAGAGAACGACCTGTATCCCCATCTTGGGGGGTAAATCGGCCAGTGGGGCCCAGGCCACGCCGCTGGGGATGGGGATCGGTTCAACGATACTCAGATGGGGGCGAACAGCCCAGGGGAGAGCAATACATGTATTCAGGTGCGCCGATGTTCTATGTCTGTCTTCGAAAATGCTCCCGGGCGAATACGTGTAATGCCCACCCCTGGGCCATTCGCCCCTATCGTCGCCGCCGACCTGAATCTTGGTCCTCCTGGTCGGTGGTTGTTTCTTTATTCCTTGTGTTGCCGATCGGCGCGTGCCCCACCCCCCCCCCCCTCCCCCCCCTTCGCAGCGGCCTTGGCCGTGCCACGGTCGTCGCCGGGAGGAGCTTTGATGGCCGACTCACACTGTGCAGTCTGCGCCTGATCAGGGGCGACGACGGGGGCGAACTGCCCAGAGGAGAGCCATCCATGTAGTCAGGTGCGCCGATGATCTGTGTCTTCGGAAAAGCTCCTGGGCGAATACGTGCAATGCCCGCCCCTGGGCTGTTCTCCCCTATCGTCGCCGCCGGCCTGAATCTTGGCCCTCTTGGTAGGTGATCGTTTCTTTATTCCTTGTTTTGCCGATCGGCGCGGGCCCCCCAACCCCCCCTCCCCCCCCTGGAGCAGATCTGGACTGTTTTGTGGCGCCTGTTTCGAGCGGGTGGAGTCTCCCCCAGAGACAGCACTCTTGCAAACAGTCGCACTAAGAAGAGGTCTGGAGCCAGAGCCCCCCCCCTTCCACCCAATGTCGAAACGCCGAACAAAACGCTCACTAGCGTCAACGTCGTCCTGCACGACGTCAGCCGTCCCACTGAGTTTAGCCTTCCATCCCGGTGCCCCTGCACCTGGCGCAGGCCACGGCTTTGAGGGACTGTATTGTCTGACACGCCTTCTCCTCGCTGCAGCTTCTCGATCGCTGCAAGTCGCTTGATTGTGTCGTCATTACTGTCGTCCTTGCTCGCCTTACCGTTCTGTCCTGCCTTGGAGCTGCCCACGATCTTTTTGTGCGCAGATCCTGAGTGGGGCCTCGTTCCCGCGCCGACAACGGATGCGCGATGCCCAGTTCGCCGCGGCTGCGCATCGCCCCACAAGCCCACGTCGGCCGCCGCGGCCCGCGAAGAACCGCTGGGTTCGGAGGCGGCGGCGGCCCTGGCACCATGCTGGCGCCCTCGTCGCGAAAAAGATGCTCCGCCAGGAGCTCACAGGGCTGGACCTTAGCTGTTTTGCTGGATTTCTGCTGAGCTTTGTTTTTCGTTTTGGCAGGGGGGCACAGGGAAACAGGAAGGGCAAAACGAAACATAAAACGGCATCAACACGAGAAACAACGTTTAGGTCCAGCCCTGGCCATGGCAGCATGCTGGCGCCCTCGTCGTGAAAGAGATGCTCCGCCAAGGGCTCACTGAAAAGCTGGTCGAGGCAGCCAGGCCTGGGAAGGGGCTGCCCTTCCACCTCGGCCTCGGCCTCTGGGGTCGGGGCGGGAGGTAAGCCGCTTACCTTGAGCCAAAACGGCCACGGCGAGAGAACATGCGCCGAGGCAGGACGAGAGGGGAACGGGCGCCCAGGAAGAAGGAGGGTGCGGGGTGGATGGGGGAGGGGAGAGGTAGTCGGGAGGAAGAGCGATGTCGGGAGGAAGGGCAGACAGCATCGGTGTATTAGAGTTCGGTTCCCTACAGTGGCTGGTGGCAGCAAGCTCAGGAGGGGCAGACCGTATCGTAGACGCCTGCGGCGAATCGCCGCCGCCCTCTGCCTCTTGAGGCGCCTCTACGGCCAAAACGTGTGGCCAGAGCTCGGCCGCGCTGCCAGACTGCGTGCCCCCTCAAAACCGTTGTGGGAACCCTTCGGGGAACATTCGGGGGAGGAAGAGGAAGATGACGAGCGAGGAAAAAGGAGGAGAAAGAGGAGCAGAAACAACCAGGAGGAGGAGGAAGAGGAACAACGAGGAGGAGGAGGACGAGGAGGAGGAGGAGGAGGAAGAGAAGGATGATGAGGAGGAGGACCCTTTGGAGCTCGTGGGGCGCTGTCAGGGCCTTCTGGGGGGCATCTTGGATGCCTCTCTGGGGCGCTAGGGAAGCCTTTGAAGGCTTCTTGGGAGGCCCTTTGGCCGCCTGAGGGCGTCCGTGGACCGCCCGACGCCGCCGGGCGCCATCTCGGGTGCTT